AGACAAGGACGGACTTGGACATCATACAGGTTTGGCACCACCCCCGTGCACAGCACTGGGCTGGGCCAGCTTAGGGAGAGTCTCCAACTCAGGCCACCCTCCTGGCCCAGGTTCCTCCTATCCCTTGTGAAAAGGAGCGAAAACAATGGTTTCTGGTCTGTCCTGTACTGAAATCTGACTCTGCTCCTTAACAGCTGCAGCCCTGGGGCAAGTCCCTTCCTGTCTCTGAGTCTCACACCTCCTCCCAGGATTCTGGCCCACAATTCAGAGGATATGACTGAACCTAAAGGGTGTGAGAAATTATCCGCAAAGTGCTATGTGGAGGTGAGTGGAAATTCTTCACATCCAGTCTATTGAATTGCCCTGTTTTTTCCTCTTGCCACAATGTTTTCCCAGCAGTTTAATGGTTAAAGAATGTGGCCTGGAGATAGAGTTGGTGGGTTGGATCCCAGCTCTACTATTAAGAGCAGTGAGACTTGGCAATAACAGAACACTATGTTCCCACCATCTTTAATACGTGAACAGTAATACTCTTTTTTGGGTTACTGTGAGGGTTAAATGAATACACACAAAAATCACCAGGGCTGTAGAAGTCACAGAGTGGCCACGCTCAGGTGCAGACAGGAGAGGTGGTCTGAGAGACTGACCACAAGGGTGCCCCAGGAGGCTTCAAGGTCCTGGGCACAATCAGCTTGTTGATATGGTGCTAGTTTCAGAGGGCGTTCAGGATGTGAATAGTCATCGTGCTGGGCCAGCCCCGTGGCTTAGCGGTTAAGTGCACGCGCTCCGCTACTGGCAGCCTAGGTTTGAATCCTGGGCGCGCACCGACACACCGCTTCTCCAGCCATGCTGAGGCCGCGTCCCACATACAGCAACTAGAAGGATGTGCAGCTATGACATACAACTATCTACTGGGGCTTTGGGGAAGAAAAAAAGAAGGAAGATTGGCAATAGATGTTAGCTCAGAGCCAGTCTTCCTCAGCAAAAGGAGGAGGATTAGCATGGATGTTAGCTCAGGGCTGATCTTCCTCACACACACACACAAAATATTCATCGTGCTGTATGCTGGAGGTATTCTCAATTCTGATATTTTATTTATAGAAGTATTATACTTCTACAAAGATGGTTTAAAAATGTGTACCTGGTAAAATCCTTTGGAGATCCTCAGACCAGACCTGGGTGGGTGGGGCCCAAGCCTTTATCTCCGAGAGAAAAGAGGAAACCAGCTAATACACGGACAGAGTTGCAGTAAAGAGAAAAAAGCAATTTGGTAATATATAGACACATCTGCATTTATATATAACTTATATACAGTTGTTCCTCTGTATCCACAGGGGATTGGTTCCAGGAACCACCCCATGGATACCAACATCTGCAGATGCTCAAGTCTCTTATATAAAATGGCGTAGTACAATGAATACAGTCAGCCCTCTGAATCCTATACAATGTGCTGCAGAAAGGTTGTGGGTGGAAAGCAGGAAGGAACAGTGAAGGGTGAAGGGATCTAGTGGCCATGAGGGGTAGTGGGATCTGCTGAGCAGATGGTGGGGAGGGGCCTGGCTGTCACCTCACCTTCCTGTCCCCTCCCCTGCACTCAGGAGCTCTGTGACTGCTCCTTCACTCTGTGATGTGGGCCTGGACCTCTGGACTGGAGCACATTCCTGTGTCCAGTTGCCTGAGGCAGCAGTGCACTTTCCATGATAGAAAACTTTCCTTTAACTTTCATTTTAGTGACCCTTGGGGCTGTATGACTCCTTTATTTGTATGTCCTTGGAAGCATTTGTATGCCCTGTCATCTTGCTGAATTCACTGGTTTCCAGGTGTCAGAACATTTGAAAAACACACAAACATCACGCAGGTAAGGGAACCCAAGGCCCAGCCCACAAAAGAGATACACTCTTGTCTTGTCCCATTCCCACTTTTCTAATGGAATTGTTGGAGCAGAGGGCCATCCCCAGCGGGGATTCTCAGATGAAATGATAACATCACCAACCTATGAGAACAAGTCAGGCATGGTAGGGGGTCAGGTGGAGACTAGGGCTTCTATCCAAAACTCACAGCCCATATTCCTAGTGTGGTGGAAGGGTCCAGGGTAAAATCCCAAACACCATGATTCTGGACTGTAGATTGACTCCTTAAGAGAGTTCAGGACACCTAGAGGACAGGCCTCACACCGGTTCACCTTGCCATCTCAGGTATCTCTGGGCCAAGACTCTCCCTGTGTCAGGGCTACCTGGAGCCAATGCTTAGCCTCAAAGACTGACCACAAATGACTCCATCTGTCCTCAGGGACCAGAATCCATAGAATGCAGCAAAGATGTTCCCCCAGATCTGACATTTGGGCCCCTTTTCAGTAGAGCACACTGAAATATCAATGAGGACCAATGCACAAAACACTTTATTTGGGTTTGACAGAAAATGACCAGTAGAAAATGTTTTCATCACCTTTAAAATGAACATGGAACAGTAGAGATCTCAACTAAATTAATGTGGAATATCTCAACTAAATTATGTCTGCTGCTTTATTAGAATGAAGAGAGCAAGAAATGGGTTCCAAACTCTTTTTTGGTCTCTTTTTCTTTGTGTCTTTCAGCAGGAACACAGAGGCAGAAAGAAACGAGTGGGAGCTTTTAAAGGTGAGGCTCTGCTCTTCAACTCTGGTTTCTCACAGGTTTGACCTTCACCTCTCTCTCCACCAGGCCCAGGCCCCCTGTCACCGAGAACACCAGTCCTTCTCAGAAACTGGAGCTCTCTGAGGAGCTCATCAGGGGTATCAGGGCCTGGCACACTCCTAGCCCTGCTCTGCCCTCTGTGGGATGGAGCTGGGCAGGGGTCTTACCCTCTAGGGGACAGTGACACATAGTGGAAGAATTCTTGGATGTTTAGGAGGCAAAATTTTGGGGTTCTGATTTTGAACAAGTTGTTAAGGTCCCTAATTTTCAGATTCCTCCTTTGAGAGTGCACTTGGCCCCACATGACAGGTTTTTGTGAGGGCCACCTGGATACGTGGTGGAAGCACCTTCCACATGACCCAGCAGTCACAGACTAAGCCTTACTGCTGTGGTCATTGACCCTTTGACCTTGACCACTAATTCTCGAGGTGCTGAGGGTCAAATTTTGAAGTAGTCTATACCCAAGAAGACATTCTGCTCAGGATCCCATAAAGTCCCTTTGCTCCTCCCTTCAACACTACAACCTGGGCTCCTATTTCCCAGCTGAGAGAGCTCTCCTGAGACCCTCAAGTGGCAATGGACGGACCTCCACCTTTTAGAGAAAAGGTAATTTATCTCCTCTGTAACTCCAGGTTCCCTCTCCCTAGCTTCACTGTGGATTTGCAGGGCCCATGCAGCACGGGGCTGACCTGGGAGGGAGAAGCACAGGGAAAGGGATGTGATAGGAGCCTTGGGGTGAGGGATAGAAGGACCATCAGAAACCAGGGATGTGGGGAAATGGGATGCTTGCCAACCCTGTCTGGCCCATCTGCCCTTTTCTCTCCAGGATGCACTTCTTACCTCTTGTCTTTTACAGGCACCTGCACAAGCTCCCCTTTGAGAGTCAGAAGATGGGGAAGATCTATCCAGCAGGGGTCACTGCCCACTCCTCATGGCTCCATCCTGAGGAGGCCCCTCGCTGCTTTAACACCAGAAATTTGGGTCCCTCATTGTGCCAACAGTATCACCACAACTCCTCTCAAGGGAATCCCATTCTCCATCTGGGCCCTTGAGTGTTCCAAGGTGCCAACATCATGTGGTTTGGGGGGCACCAGAGGTGGGGCCCACTCTCTGAGATCCATGAACACAAGACAGTGTTCCTTGTGTGTAAGACCCAGTCCCTAGCTCTTTCCCTGTCTCCTGTTGATTCTTCTCCTGTCCACTCTTCCAGGGCTCTCTCCCCAGCCATGCCTGGGTGTCCCATGGGGGAAACTCCCAAGTACATCAGGGAGAAGGGGTGCTCAGAAACAGTTATGTCCCTGGCCTGGAGTGCTCCTTCCCTGCCCCCTCCCCTGTGGGTGGAGAAAGCCCTCAGACTGGGGCAGATAACCAACAGGACCCTCAGTTAACATCAGAGGGGAGAGATGCCCCTGGGGGACCCATGAGAGATGAGATAGAGCCTGCAGGAAGAGGGACCACTCAGCCCAGGACGACGAGTCCCCTTGCTCAGGATGCAGCATCGCCAGAGACTCCTGAGCACATGAAGTCCCAGGGCTGCCACAGGTATGATTAAAAAAGAAACTGAGGCATTTCTTTTAGGCCTTTCCTAACCTGAAAAGAAAGAAGGGATGGACAGATCCCACTTATATGCTCCCAAGGGAGCAGATGTCCCCAGGTCAGCCCAGGCAGCCTGGACCACGGGTGCCAGAGTGCCGGCTCTGTCTCCGGGACTATGTTTCTGGTCAGCCAGAAAGTCCTCCACCATCCCCCACTCCCTGCAAAATTTCCCTGAGGGAAATGTTTTACTAAAATTAGAATAAATTCATCTTCTCTTACACATGCTCTGAGGTGTGGGGAGGAAGGTGAGTGGCCAGGTCTGGGGAGTTGGGGCCCACTGGGAACTTGGGCAACAGGGTTGGTACTGCATGTTTAGCTGCCATCAGCCAGGCTGCAGGACACAGGAGACGTCAGAGCAAGGGAAGCAGGGGTTCAGCGGAAGACCTCACCAGGGGCAGAGGCAGCCCCAGGCCGAGAAGTTCATGCGTGTCCTCCCACAATAATCGCCCAGTAACTGCAAGGCTCAGGAACGTTTACCAAATTGAATTTATCAGAGAGAGCTGCTGCAGGAACTGGTTCCAGCACCTTCTGGTGGCGCTGGCACAGGTGGCTCCAGCCCCTGCTGAATGCTTGTACCCCCAGAGGGTAACAGCCACACCAACCTTTTATGAGTGCTTAGTGTATGCCAGGAGTAAGGCAAAATGTTCCAGGAGGATCATCCCATTCTATCTTTTAGCAGTGTTTCAAGGTATACTTTCTCACTGTACACACAGATGAGGAAATGAAGGTTACTCATTTACCAGAGTCAGTTGCTAGATTGGACTCCAGGCTCTGACTTCAGAGCCTATATTCAGTCTCTCAGAGATCACCTGTTATACTGTAAGAGCTGTTTGTATATTTAACCTTTCATTAAATTGGCACTTATGGAGGCTCTTGGTAGATGGACGGGTGTCCTGTAAGGAGCTTTCATCTTCTGGAAGTAAATTTTACCTGTAGATTCACTGGATTTTAGGAGCAGTGGGGCTAAGTTTTCTTCAAAAGCCAGACGGTTACTTCTGACTGTGTGTTCTCTGATGCTGAAGGAGGCCTGATCGCTGGTTGAAGGCTTTTCCACAAGTGTTACACACATAGGGTTTCTCTCCAGTATGAATTCTCTGGTGTTGAATAAGGGACGAGCTCCTACTGAAGGCTTTCCCACATCCACTACATTTGTAGGGCTTCTCTCCAGTGTGAATTCTCTGATGCTGAATTAGTGTTGAGCTGTGGCTGAAAACTTTCCCACATTCAGTGCACTCATGAGGTTTCTCCCCAGTGTGGATTCTCTGATGATCTATCAGATTTGAGCTTCGGCTGAAGGCTTTGCCACATTCACTGCATTCATAAGGTTTCTCTTTAGTGTGAGTTTTATGATGTTCCATGAGATTAGAACTTCGGCTAAAGGCTTTCCCACATTCATGACATTCATAAGGCTTCTCACCAGTGTGAATTCTCTGATGTTGTATGAGGGTTGAGCTGTGGCTAAAGGCCTTCCCACAGGCTCTGCATTCATAGGGCTTCTCTCCTGTGTGGATGCTGTGATGTTCCATAAGCGTGGCACTTCGGCTGAAAGTCCTTCCACATTCAAGACATTCAAAAGGTTTCCATACAGGGCCTGTTTTCTGGACACTGGGAAGGTCTGCATTATCAAAGAGTGACTCTCTCCATGCAGCTCCTAACAGAAGTTTCTCTGATATATGGGTTTTGTAATGTGGAGTCAAATCTGCTTGTTGTTTGAAGCTTTGGCTGCAGTCACCACACTGATGAGATCTTTCCCCTGTTAGAACTCTCTGAAGGGAAGCAGAGCTCGAGTTCAAAATGAAGCTTTGCCCAAATTTATCACACACTTGGCTTCTTTCTCCACAGTGGCCTATTTTATGGATGACTGTTTCCTGTCGTAAAGTTCTCTCCTGGAAAAGAGATTTTCTCAGCCTCTCCCCTTCAGAGTTTCCCTGATATCTCTCTGAACTGCATGCTTCTCCAGGTTCACTCCCAATGACTCGCTTAAGTGTTAGCTCCTGAGATTCCAGGGCCTCATTACTTTCCTCTTTGGGCATCCACAATTGGTTCTCAGGTCTGGTCTCACAATCTGAGACAAAAGATACACAGTATACATGTCAGTTCCTGGTGATAGAAGAATGAAAACTTCCCAGTTAGAAAAAACAAAATTCATTTGAAATCCATGACTCCTCTTGGCTGCAGTCTTAACACTGGCCTCATTCTGGAAGGGGAAGGTAGGGAAGGCCAAGTGCTGAGCAGTGTTCTCAGGAGAAGAGGTGACAACAAGAGGCAGCTCTAGTTCCTCCACAACCATCCCAACCCTTCTCCTTTTCCTCAACCTCCCAACTCCAATCTAGAGCCTCATCTACATCACAGAAAGAGCAGAAGCCATCAGACTGGAGCTCCCTCAACTTCCCACCAAAACCTGCACAAGAACCCACATCTGGACCCACCTGCTTCTCAGTTCTTCCTCTGAAGTCAGTCTCCCACCTGAGTCCTGCATCCCATCCCCCCACTTCTTCAGAAACTGCCCATCACTGACAACTCTTCCCTCTCTAATAGTTTGCCCACTTTCCCCGTGAAACCAAACCTTTGCTTCCTCACAGCCACACTACGAGCAAGAACTGCCCACACTCTGTCTCTTCTTTCTCATCGCTACTCGCCCCTAACCCACTCTCATTTGGTTTCTGCTCCCAGTGTTCCACCTATCAGTGAGGTCACCAGTGACCCTGGATCCTGCATCCAAAGGGCATCATCCAGCCTTCATCTTCTGTTCCTCTCGGCAGCATTCCACATCTGACTCCCTTCTTGATTCCCTCTACCCTTGTCTCCTGGGATCCCACTTTTACCTGGTTTTCCTTCTACTTCTCTGATACTTGTTTGAGTGTTCTTGGCTGGCTCATCCTGTTTACTTGGGCATTCAATGTTAGAGTTCCTCAAGGTTTGATCCTGGGCCTATTTCTGTTCTCTCAGAAATCTCATCTACCCCCATGGCTTCTGACATCTCCCATATGCTGAGGAAAACCCAATGTGTAACAGCCTATACTCTTCTTATTTTTAGGCCTATGGCCCCAACTGCCTACTAAGATATCCACGAAGATGTTTCAAAGTCATCTCAAAACCAAGATGTCAAAAAATTGTTTCATGAATTTCCTGTGCAAACCTTTTTCTTTTCTAGTGACCCTTGTTACCACATCCCAGACATCCCTTTCTGCAAGCCAGAAACCTAGAAATCTGTAACATTCCCTCTTCCTCACTCCCTATATCCAGCCCATCATGAAGTCCTGGGGAAGGGGAAGGAGGAAGGATGAGCCTCATCTCTGAGGTGACCCCCCTGGACTGTAGACTCTGAGAAAAGGGACATTTGTCCTCAGTGCCTGGTCCTCCATAAATATTCATCAAAATAATGAGTAAAAGGGACAGCTTGGTCAGAGACAATATACAGATGTGGGGGGGGACCAACAAGTGGATGGATGCTGGAGTCAGTCCTAGTGACCTATGTCAAGGATGCCATGATGGAGGCAGATAAAAGTGACCTTGTGGAGCAGCAGCCATCACATCTCAGCAGAGGGGACTCTGCCCTGGGCTGGTGCAGCCAGATGTCATGTGGCTCCCTCAGGTCTGGAGTGAGCAGGCTGATCACAGGGTGGCCAAGGGCTGAAGGCCTGGTATGGTGAAGAGGATGGGGGAGGGGCATAACCACAAAGAAGTGGGTCATTTGGTAATCTGGGGTAGGGGTGATCACAGAACATGATACAAAGGGGTATGCTCCAAAACTCAGGAACAAGCCAAGGATCAGACCCTTGGATGTGAGTGACCAGCATCATGCTGGGCATTGTGACAACCAAAAGGCACTTCCTGATGACCTGCTGAGGGGATTTCACCGTGGGGCTGGGCGAGAGGGGATGCTGGCAACACTTCTGGAACCAGCCTCTTCACTGCCACCTTCATCTCCTCGGAGAGCTCCTGCTGCTGCCTGGACCTGGGAACAGTTGGACACAAGGCAGGTAAGGATGGGATATGGATGGCAGAGACCAAGCTCAGGACCCAGTTGTGGGGGGGGGGGGTCTCCACCTCCCTTCGGGTTCTGGGGCTGAGAAACAGGGCTGGCCACAGCCTCTGTATCAATTTCTCCCTCTGGGTTTCCTCTGGATGAGCTGAGGTATTATTCCGTCATCAGGGCATAGGGTCCTGCCTTGGCCATGCCAAGCCTGTGGAGATGAGCAGAACTCAGGAGATAGGAGAGTGTCCACTAGTAGGGCATGGCTCCCACTCTGGTGGTGCTGGTTAAAATGGAACAGCAAGGGATACAGTAAAAACGGTAATAAGAGGCAAGTTTATAGCAATACAGGCCTACCTCAAGACACAAGAAAAATATCAAATAATCTAGCAATACACCTAAAGGAACTAGAGAAAGAAGAACAAATGAAGCCCAAAATCAGTAGAAGGAAGGAAATAATAAAAATCAAGAGCAGAAATAAATGAAATAGACACTAAAAAGACAATAGAAAAGATCTGTGAAACTAAGAGCTGATTCGTTGAAAATAAAAACAAAATTGACAAACCTTTAGCTAGGCTCACCATGAAAAAAAGAGAGAAGTCTCAAATAAATAAAATAAATAAAATCAGAAATGAAAGAGGAAAAATTACAACAGACACCACAGAAATACAAAGGATTATAAGAGAATACTACAAAAAGCTACATGCCAACAAATTAGATAATCTAGAAAAAGTCGGTAAGTTCTTAGAATCTTACAACCTTCCAAAACTGAGTCAAGAAGAAACAGAGAATTTGAATAGTCTGATCACTAGTAAAGAGATAAAAACAATAATCAAAAACCTCCCCAAGAACAAAAGTCCAGGACCAGATGGCTTCCCCAGTGATTTCTACCAAACATTCAAAGAAGATTGAATACCTGTACTTCTCAAACTCTTCCAAAAAATTGAAGAGGAGGGGACACTTCCTAACTCATTCTATGAGGCCAACATTACCCCGATACCAAAACCAGACAAGGACAACACAAAAAAAGAGAATTACAGGCAGGCCTATATCACTGATGAACATAGATGCATAAAATCCTCAACAAAATATTAGCAAGTCAAATACAATAATACATTAACAGGATCATATACCATGATCAAGTGAGATTTACTCCAGGGATGCAAGGATGGTTCAACACCTGCAAATCAATTAATGTAATATACCACATCAACAAAATGAAGAATAAGAATCACACGATCATCTCAATAGATGCAAAGAAAGCATCTGACAAGATACAGCATCCATTTATGATAAAACTCTGAATAAAATGGGTATAGAAGGAAAGTACCTCAACATAATAAAGACCATTTATGACAAACCCACAGCTAATATCATACTCAATGGTGAAAAACTGAAAGCTATCCTTCTAAGAACAGGAACAAGACAAGGATGACCCCTTGCACTACTTTTATTTAACATAGCATTAGAAATCCTAGCCAGAGCCATCAGGCAAGAAAAAGAAAGAAAAGGGATCCAGATTGGAAAGGAAGAAGTAAAGTTGTCACTATTTGCATATGACATGATTATATATACAGATAACCTTACGATAAGGTTATAGATAACCCACTAAAAATATTATTAGAAATAATAAACAAATACACTAAAGTTGCAGGGTACAAAATCAACATACAAAAATCAGTTGCATTACTTTTTTTTTCTGAGGAAGACTGCCTCTGAGCTAAAATCCATTGCCAATCCTCCTCTATTTGCTGAGGAAGATTAGCCCTGAGCCAACATCTGTGCCCATCTTCCTCTATTTTGTATGTGGGATGCTGCCACAGCATGGCTTGATGAGGGGTGCATTGGTCCACACTCGGGATCTGAACCTTTGAACCCCAGGCTGCAGAAGCAGAGTGCGCGACCCCAGCCCCATGCCACCGGGCTGACCCCTGCAATCAGTTGCATTTCTATACACTAACAATGAAATAGCAGAAAGACAAATCAAGAGAATACAATCCCATTTACAATCACAACAAAAAGAATGAAATACTTGGAATAAATTTAACCAGAGCTGAAAGACCTGTACACTGAAAACTACAAAACATTGTTGAAAGAAATCAAAGAAGGCATAAAGAAATGGAAAGATATTTTGTGCTCATGGATTGGAAAAATTAACGTAGTTAAAATGTCCATACTTCCTAAAGCAATCTACAGATTCAATGCAATCCCTATCAAAGTCCCAGTGACAGTTTTCATGGAAATAGAACAAAGAAACCTAAAATTTATACAGAACAATAAAAGTCCCTGAATAGCCAAAACAATTCTGAGTAAAAAGAACAAAACTGGAGGTATCACACTCCTTGATTCCAAAATATACTACAAAGCTATAGTATTCAAAACAGCATAGTACTGGCACAAAAAGAGACATACAAATCAACAGAACAAAATCGAGAGCCCAGAAATAAACCCGCACATCTACAGACAGCTAATTTTTGACAAAGGAGCCAAGATCATATAATGGAAAAAGGAAAGTCTCTTCAATAAACGGTGTTGGGGAGGCGGCCCAGGGGCACAGTGGTTAAGTTCATGCACTCTGCTTTGGTAGCCCGCAGTTCGCAGGTTTGGATCCCAGGGGCAGACCTACGCACCACTTATCAAGCCACACTGTGGCAGGTGTCCCACATATAAAGTAGAGGATGATGGGCACGGATGTTAGCCCAGGGCCAATCTTCCTCAGCAAAAAGAGGAGGATTGGCAACAGATGTTACCTCAGGGCTAATCTTCCTCACCAAAAAAAAAAAAAGAAAAAAAAAGTGCTGGGAAAACTGGACAGCCACATGCAAAAAAATCAAAGTAGACCATTATCTTATACCATACACCAAAATCAACGCAAAATGGATTAAAGACTTCAATGAAAGACCTGAAACCATAAAACTCCTAGAAGAAAACATGGGCAGTACGCTCTTTGACATTGGCCTTAACAGTATCTTTTTGAATATCATGTCTCCTCAGGCAAGAGAAACAAAAGAAAAAATAAACACATGGGACTACATCAAACTAAAAAGCTTCTGCAAAGCAAAGGAAACCATCAACAAAACGAAAAGACA